CTTAAATAAAATGTATTAATAACTTCCTTAATTATCAAAAAATTGTGTAAAATGACATAAATACCCTTATCAATTAAATTTAATTAAAAACAAACGGAATTTTCTTATTGGTCGAAATTGATTTACACGATTTTTTAGAATTGGATGGTTTGCATTTGAACCTGCCCCTATATATATATATACATATATATATATACATATATATATATACATATATATATATACATATATATATATATATGGGGATAATCTTTTGTTTAGTTGTAACACTTTGAACAATATCACTGTCATCAGGAACAAAGATTCATTTAAGCTTTGGGTCCTTGTTACTTTTTAATATCATATTGCAAGTACTTATAAGTGTTCTTCGTCACTATCATTTACTACAACAACCTTTCCAGCTTTCTCTTTACTTTCATGCAGAATTTACTTTTACGTCATTTACATTCAGTCATTTCTATTTATATCATTTACTTTTAAGCACTTACATGCAGTCATACTACACTAAACATCTTAGTATGGGTGTAAGTGAAAGTTGTGAGATTAGGCCAAGTGTTAGTCGATGATTGCTTGTTAATAGCAATTTATTTCACTATTCACAAGTGTTGGTCATCTCTCATTGATTTGATGATAATCTCTTTTACATATCGAAGTAGAGTGTATGTGTTTATACAGTTTCAGCGATCATCACTGAATCTGTTTAGTGATCGCTGAAACAAGCATTGTAACTCTCCAGTGACTCTTATACTTCAAGAAGACAAAATTCACACCAAAAAACTTTCAGACAGAAACTGAAGATTAGAGACTAGTGTGTTCGTGATCTGAAGCAGCATTCAGTATTACAAACTATTCAACATATGTGTGAAGACGGCACAAGCCTCAGCAAATGCTCAAGAGACCTCCAGTGTCATCCCAGCATGCAACGATCAAATGAAGCTTATCATGCACGTTTGTTTTTGTCTTATCCTTTCACACACTAAGGACAAACCCATACCATTTCTAAGAGTATAGTATTGTACGGAGTCAATTAGTTACTATTATGGACCATTTACCAAATGTTTATCTGGTAAGTACTTATCAACAAGCGTTACCATCCCCATTTATCTTATAGATTAACATTTTTGGTCATCAAAATGGATTGTTGATAAGAGTTTTCTCCCTCACTGTGTATGATTCTCGATCTTTGTTACGTCTCTTACCAGATAAGATTTTGAGTCGTTGTCATGCTAATCAAGTAAGTGACAATCGGTAAGCAAACGCTTATCAGGTAAACGACCATTTGGTAAACTTTATAGTTACAAATGAAACGTAAGCTTTTTGTTTTCTTGACATGATTATAGGAATTCATTAATAGTAAAGAAAAGGCAAGCTCCATAAAATGGAATATGCTTTGTTGTATTTTTAAAACGTTAAAATGTCACATCTCAAATATTTAAATATCTTTCTTTACTTAATAATTGTAAATACCGTCTAAGATTCGGTTTCATTGACGCAATGCCGATATTTTTTTTGATTGACAACTGAGCTTAAAAAATTTAAAGTCATTAATTCTGTTATATGGAACTTAACTAAAATAGCCAGTTAGACACGGTATAAACAGTATATTCACTTTATAACTACCTTTTGAACCCACTGGCAGATTTAGCTGGAAACTAAGCAAGTAGCATTTCGCAACTTAATTCACTTTTCAGATTAAAAAAATGAAGAAAACAGGCCTTGTGCAAGTTGCGTAAGTGAATATAAGGATACTTGCGCAACTTTTGTAATACCCGTATTTTCTCATTATTTTAAACCAAAGGGTGGATTATACAAGTTGCATAATGCGACTTTCGTAAATTACAGCTAAATCCGTCAATAAGATCAAAAGGTAGCTATAAAATGAATCGGAGGATGCAAAATGACTTATATTAGTCAATTTTCTAAAAGAAATGCTTTATGTATTTGAAACAGATACTAGCATGTCTCAAATATATTATAATAATATCAATACCTAGAATTATGTTATAAGCAAGGCTACTACAAAAGATTTATGTTTCTAACTAACGAGTGAGTTTTTAACAAGCTATTTAAGCTCAGGCTCGTTTATCTTGCTCATGACCTTAATAAATGGTTGAGCTCAAATCACCCTCGATCACTCACTAAAACTCATTTAACAAATGAATCAATCTCTGTAACACTAACATTTGACTCGGTTCATTCGAAAAGTCAATTAAGCCGAGTCAACTCATGGCAAACCATTCGAGAATATGCTTTTTTTTAAACCAGACATGTGTATATGTTCATAAATCATATAATCAAATTAAAAAATTATTGACGTCAAGCTTACAAGCGAGTTGAACAATCTCAACTTCAAGCCATTAAATGACAACCGAGTTCGAACATTGAACAAACACTCTGAACTCAAGCTCGACTATTACTAGTTATTCAAGCTCGAGTCTTGTAATATTTTTTTGACCGAAAACTCGAATAACCTGCAACTCAAGTGAGTCATTAACACCCCTACTAACTAATTGAATGGCCACTTATCTTGAGAAATGGAGAAGCCTGCAGCACATCTAAATGAATATAGAACATCTCAAAATGAAAACTGTTGTAAATTTTAAAGTACATACCTAGTGTTTTTGTGGTCAGTATCGGTATCAGTATCAAGGTTTCTATGTAAACGAAGCTAATGTACATGGTTACTAAGGAAACTAGAAACCAATATATATCTGTCTGCTACAAAACCATAACTAAAGATGAACCAACTCTACCCACAAATACACTCGGACAATAATACGTATGGCCCATGTAGATATGACAAGAGGAAATTTCTAAATTTTGTCATCAGAGTTTGTGGCAGCGTCGCCCTCGGAGCCACGCCTCTTCTTCTTTCCTTCTCCATGTCTGGATCTCCTTGGTGCTTCATCTTCACTTTCGCTTTCACCATTTTTGAAGGTATTTTCACCACCAGGTTGACCCTCATCATCAGGTCTACCGATGTCTTGGCCTATGGGCTGGGAGCCACCACCGCCACTATATCTATCATTACCACCCACTGCCACCTGATCCCTCTTACTGCGACTGGTGTTCTGTGGAGGTTGTAGCTGCTGCTGTGGCTGTGGATAAACAGGGCGGCCGCCACCTCTTCCTGCCACGCCACCACCCAAACCCATAAAAGGGGCCCGTCCAGGTCCAGGACCAGGACCCATCATCATCCCAAACCCACCCCCGGGAAAATTTCCATGCTGGTGAGGCCCAGGGCGGCCATGAAACATCATACCTGCGAATGGTGGACGTTGGAAATCGCCAGAGAATCTAGGTCCGAATGGACCAAACCCACGGGGACCCATGTTCATAAGATCAGGCACGGGAAACCCATCAGGTCCCACTCCTCCAAAAGAAAATCCGTCACCTCCCATCATATTCATGAGAGGAGGGAATCCCCTCATCCCCGGCATAGGGCGGGGTCCCCTTCCCATAGGCATATGAGGCGGCCATATCATCCCTCTGCTTCCCCTTCCTCTGCCTTGTGCCGCTAAGCCGAAACCCTGTTCAAAACTGTCCTCATCTTCCTCACTTTCTTCTTCTTCCTCTTCTTCATTGTCCTCAAAAGGGACGATATCGGGATTCTCACTTGCATTCTCTGGATTAACTCCTTTTGCTTTTTCCTCTTCCCGCTTTGATTCTGCTGCAAGTGATATTGCCTACAAAACACGATACAGTAAACATTTAAGGTCTTCTGCTACCCTTGATGATAATCCCTCCGTCCCAAAATAAATGTCCACAATGAACAAGACTTATTTTAGGACAAACTAAAACCGAATGAAACCATTTATTAGGAGGAAGAGATGCAGCTGTGAATGATAAATTGTGATGTGAGACGTCGATGATGGTGAGTTAGATACAGAAGAAGCAGATTCGGTTTGTTCATCCTCTTCCTCTTTTCTCCCAGATTTTCCTTTTCACTAACTTTTTAATTTGGCTTCTTAGCCCATGTTTTTGCGGATGAACCGACAAGAACACATATTCAAAGATATGACACAATAAGTTTCTTAAGTTTTTGGTCAATTAGAATAACACAATGGAACACCGATAGATGGACACATTTGGTTTGCTCAATTAACCATGAGACATATTACCATCTGGTTTGTGGGGAACTCCTATATTCCCGCTTGGTTTCTTCTATTGGGATGCTTGATTTATTCTCTAGTCTGACTTTCTTTTATGTAGCCAATTCTCTTTTTGTTCTCTAGATCATGTAGTTCTTAAGGTGTTGCTAATATAAATAGGTTGCTTGCTGCTTCGCACTCATGTTCTTTGGGGGTGCGTTTGGTATGCAGACGGGAGTTAACAGGAGTAGGCAGGCCGAGAGTTAGGTTTGCTTGGGAAAGAATTGTGGAAGGCTTTAGGGTTTTCATGTGACATGGGTAGTTTAGTAATTTACTAATCTTGTCCATCTCCCAAATTTTTACTCGACCTATGTTGGTAGGATAAAAAAAGTGCACTTTCTCCCACACAATCATGTCTTGTTCCAGTCTATGGATTTTATGGATTTTGTTTTATTTTGTAGTTTTCATTTCCTGAGATCCATTTTTGTTTGGCTTTCAAGTTGGGCATGACCAATATCTATTCTCCAAGTTGAGGGGAATAAGAGAAAATACAATTAAAATTAATGATTAGCTACATTTTCATACTTTTAGTTCCATGGGCTGATATTGTGCACTAGATATCTGGGTTATTGACTTCCCAAACCATCATATATGATGTTCCATTGCAATCAAATCATTGTTCTTGCACAAATGCAGAAAAGAACACACGAATTCTTCTAGAAAAAAAAATTCTTCCACAATGGAGTCTGATAAGTGAGATTTCGATTAAGTGTTTTCATAACTTCTTCTGTTCAAAGAAATGATTCATCGAAATAATGAGTCACCATTGATATCGACACATCTGACAATACTGTGCAGAAAGGAACACCACGCCTTCTATAGGAGCAGTTACGGAAAAAAAATAATTACTACGATGATCTTTTTTCATCAGTATTTCCACGATTTGTCCAAATCCGCTCATTCTTGCAACCTGAGTGTTTTTTTTTTTTTTTTTGCATTTTCACATGAATAATGGCTTGTTTTCAAAGAGAAGCCAATAAGAATGGTTCAAAAAGCCAAATTACTACTATAATATTTAAGATTTTCCACTCATTAACGTGTTTTGAACCCTAGACCTGAAGTAAATATCCTTTTGAGAACATTAGAAGCATTTTAGAACATTTAATATACCATAACGACAGCGGAAAAAAAAAGGTTACCATGAGCTCGCTGTCTGGTTCAAGATACAAAAGCGAAGCCAACTGTTCACCGATCGAGGGTTCTAGCTCTTGACAATCTCTGCTTATCTATCCCCACAATCCAAACAGCGCACAAAAATCAAAATTAAATTCATTAAAGCAAGTGAATAAAGTAAATATATATTTGTGTGTGTGTACACATGCATTCATATACAATCAATTATGGTACAGAAAAACAGCACATCCTTTTCACAGAAGATAATAAAGAGAACATGGGCAGCTGAAACGAGCTTATCTGATAAGAGTCCATAATGACATCTTTAACGACCTCAATAATTTACCAAGTCCTTAAAAAGTACATCTACTTGAAAAAAAGACACATTTGTCCCTTTTATGAAACTAGCATGTTAAGATGTAAGTTGGTTAATTTTCTTTCTGAGAATGGATAGCATGTTGGAGTTCATGACAGAGATGATAGTTAACAAACATATTTAAAAACAACATGAGAAAGTTTATGATTAAATAATACTCCCTCCGTCCCAAAATAAGTTTCCATATTTCTATTTTGTGTCCACCGTTCATTTTCAAAGGTAAGTACGTACTTTCCAATTCTACCCTTAATTACGATAAGGAGAATTCATTGCTCCCTATATTATTAAGGGTAAAATTGTCATTTATTTAACTGAAAGTGTAATGGTTACATATTTCTAGAACTGTCTTTTTCATTGTGGACATTTATTTTGGAACAGACGGAGTAAACGTATCACTAATACTCATAGTTCAAACCGATTCCCGAAATGCTTTTTTGGATATTCCTCAATGTCCGGCTATTCATGGAACGTGAGAAGCATATGATTCCAGAAGAAATTGAAGAATTTCTTGGGAAACAAGATTTCCAAATAAAAACATCCATGCCCAGACTGATGAACTATTCATAATTATTGAACAAGTGCATGCAATTCTTCTTCATTTTCACATCAGAGACAACCACTCCAACAACTTGCTTGAACTTGAAGCAGTCGTCCACCATTCACTTCGAACAACACACCATGGGACCATGGTTTCACGTGATATTGAATTACGCCAAAAATTTAAAATGTCAACTATGGGACTATGAATTTGGTACAGTAACCTATTTGGGCCTTCTCAAGTGACCTTTGCCATTAGCCGATCAAATATTTGTGTACAACATTTTACCCCTACAAGAAAGAATGTTAGTGCTCATTGCAAATTTAAAATTCGAAAGGACCAAACCATCAAAAGATAGGTTCAAAATATCCTTTTGTAGATGATATTTCAGCCTCTACCCCCTACCTGACACAAGGCCTACTAGTTACATATCATGTCTCACTCTTTTTAAAATTTAAAAAAAATAATAATTCCAACACTACATAAAACAAAGATTCACCTGGGTTAACAGTTTAACACAGAATAATCACTTTCCTTCAACGACCAACACTAGTGTAGGTTTTTACTATTAAAATGCATACAAAGAAGAAAAACATAGCATCTAGAGAAGTGAGAAGAACTAGAAAGACATAGCAAGAAATAGTACCTTCACAGGTAAGTTCTCATTGTAAGGGTTCCTCAGGTGTCTAGTTTTGTGGAAGGACAGTTCACATAGCTGCACAGTAGATACAATTAATTTAATTTTGTTGATTCCTTAATTCAGTGACAGGAATTCAAGGACCATATTACTTATGGGGTCCCAATTGTGTAAAATTTCTTTACACAAACAAAAGCAAGATATAGAACGCAAAACTTCCTCATGCTCATAGTGAAAAGGTGAAAAGTAACAATGATAAATCTAATTAACTGATTAAAATCCCAATTAAACAGTAATCAGAAGAACAAAGAAAATCACCCTCACCCCTAAAGAAGATTCTGCCAATCATCTGAACAGAAAATTATTCTCTAATGTATAGAGAAAAAAAGAAGCATTCAAATAGATTGATGAGCACTGTAAATGTTCAGGGTGGAGAAATTTTTTATCGTTGCAAGAGAAACATCAAAATATAGGTTACATAAAACAAGCACTAAATGCACCAAAATATCAAGAAGTAGAACTCCAATAAATATTATTAATATATGTAACACTCCTTTGTGTTGGAGAATATAAGTGACTCATGCCCAACCAGCTATGCTCCAACTTCCTATACATGAAATCTATCCGCAGAGATTTCTTTATGTCAGCAAAATGACATTCAATATCAATGAGAAATATCGTTTCTTTGTGACATCAATAGTTGTTGCTATGAAATTCTCCATTCAAAAAGAAATTTTAGACTAAGCACTAGAAGGTCTCAACTACTTATGCATTGACGTACTAGGAATGCTTATCAGTAGGGCAGCCCATGCTATAATTGTTCCCAACGTCTATCTCTATCTGGATGACGGACAGCTTCTGGACGATTCAGGGTGACACTAGAGCCCTGTAGGGAACCTGAACTATCTCACAGTCGACCAAATCTGTTGCTGTTTATTGTTCTTGTTGCCTTCTTGCAAACTCTTGTTCTTTTTTCCTATGCCTCATGTGCTCCAGTTACTTTTCAAGAATTTCGCAAGTTGGGGATCTCTACGGAAACATATCTCTACTACCCTTTGGGGCAGAGACAAGGTCTGCGTACATTGCACCTCACCCTACTTCCAAGTTGGCTTCGCTTGGTTTTGTTTAGTTTATTATGTTCTAGGTGAGTATGGGGAGTGGGTTCATGTCTTCTCCACATACAACTCATTGGGATGTTGTAATTCAGATATGAAGTTTCGTAAAGGGTCTTTTATACACTACTCAGCTGCATGCTTAAATCGTTGGATATTCATATGCTAGTTGCAGAAAGATGTTGACATAGGAGGAGGCCCAATTAGGGAATTTTACTTTCTCCTGGATAAGCAAGAAAGTGGATGTAAACTCCCTACCAAGTCTCAGGTCGAAGTATTGAGCCATAGTCCAGGGGTGCTTGCAAGTTGACATAAGGTCATTGCTTGAACCAAAAGTTAGGGGAGTCCTTGGTTTGTGAAATTTGAAGTTGCTTATTGGTGTCAATAAAAAGAATCATATTAGTTTAGAACTAGGGTTGAGATCCTATGTCACATCGTCGTCGACAGTATTTGTCTCTTTTTATCATTGTCTGCTAAATTATACCAGTAGCTCACTCAAAGTCGGGCAAAACATTAGTCATCAATGCCTCTTCCCCTCTTGCTTTGAACATAGTATAAAGAAAGTTCAAAAATCTAATCTTTGATCCACCTAGATCTGTTCCTATAATAAAGATCAAAGCATCATCTAACTAGAATAGGAGCGTAAAAAAACGTTGGACAACAAAAATCAGTCAAACCAAGATCAAACCAGACCATTTTTGGCAGTTTCGAGTTTCGACGGTTTGTTTTAAAAAATAGCCAAACTGCATGGTTTGGTCTGGTTTGCAGATTGAGCCTTTTCATTTGGTGGTTTTGCTATTTACAGAGTTCAGGGACTATTTTGCAAATTTCAGGAGATTCAGGGGATATTTTTAGAATCAGAAAGCTCTGGAAATGTTGACCAACAAATCTGGTTCAGCCCTCCTCTCAGCCATCCAAAACGTCAAGCTTGTATGTCCTCTTCCGTTCTACGGGTACTCTTCAACCCAGCTCCCCTTGGGCTCCCACATTTGATTTCTACAATGCGTGCAGGACAACTATTAATATCGGATGGAGAAGTGAAGTCATCATCAGACTTGTAATATGTTTTGTGCCAACTTCTCTCAGAGCAGTTGAGGCTCTTCAGAGCTGCATACTGCTTTATTGCTGCTCTGCTCGAATCCAAGAAAGTGTTTGGCAATTGGATGGAGCAGTGTGATCAAAATGTCAAATTCGAGTTGCAATTTTCTAAAATCCATCTGGACCTACTGCTAATTTCCTTTTTTCTTTTTTCCAGTTTCGAATAATTTGCTTCTGTTTTAAAAATTATATCTATGTTCATCTTGTCATGTTGGGAATGACTAATATCTACCCTCCATCTTGAAGTCAATTAGTAGGTAGGGATACAATATAATGAAGCTAGAGTTTGAATACCATTTCCTATGTTTACCGTTTTAGGCCCATGGGTTCATCTGTTATCCTTCATATTCGCAGTTTTCACTTAGTAATAGTACAAAAAACCTTAAACAGTAACGCCTGGTACTTAAAATATCACGTTACCTAAACTCCGAACTCTAATTGTCACCTAGCACCTCATGTCACACGTGTCATAGGCAGAACTAGAATTTTTTTACAGCGGTGACAAAATAATTATCGTAATATAAAATTAAATAACAATTAAACTATAGTTATAAAATAAGCACAAAACACCAAAAAATTAAGAAAACTAGATAGGGTTGGCTAATTCATTGATGGGCTGTGGGCAGGGCTTGTAAAACTGCTTGTTCTAATTAAAGAAAACATTGCAAAATCTGTTCACCAAGACTTGGACTCGTGACATTGTCTTCCTCTAAGAGCATCTTACCATTGCTGTGCACCTTTTTATTGTCTAACTTAACCAAAACGGTGGCACATATCAAAACGGTGGCACCATTAAAAGTCGTAAAAAAGATTTCACTATGTCGGGACAATAAAGTGTAGCCAGGCCACCGTTTCCCCTAAGCTAGGTCTTCCCCTGGCACGTTGCAACTCAATAAACAATTTGACATAAAGGCCTTCTGAGGAATTTGCAATACAAATAGAGGGTGACAAGCTGGCAGGCAAGGAGTGCCTGACTTCAAAGTCCAAATGGCCAGGCTAGATTCATCTTTTCCCCCTGCTGATTTATTTAAGTTCGGTCCATACCAAAGGATCACGAGATATCATAAATCACTGTCAAATGATTTAGAAGAATACCTTTAGCCATTTGACACAGAAATTCCGTCCATAATGTGCAGTCCCATGTTCGTATTTCCAGTTGCCTCCACCAACAGATCCACCAGTTTTTGAAGTCATCTTTGCACAGCCCTGGAGAACAGTAATAAACTCGTTTGAACACCTCATATGACACAAAATGGATTAATAAAGATCATCTTATATGACAAGACTTCCAAATAGAAGATATCCACTTAATTGTCATGTGAAATGTGTTTCTAACCCACCTGAAAATGCCGCGTCCTGTTGACTGAAAATATTAAAATAACATTCTCCACAGAATCAAACGCCTCATTTAGTTTAGCCTCATTGCTTCTTTGGGTGGCCCACACTCCTTGTTGAACGGATAACTCAAGATTTTCACGGTTGCAGCTTTTTACAATGAAATACCTAGTGCTCCAGATGTAAAGTTCAACAAGAAAATTAGAAACAAAAAACTCAAAAGAAAAAAGTTGAAACAAGAATAAGCAAAAAATTACTGCAAATGGAAACTACAAAAATAGTGAACACAAAAAAGTAACAAATTCCACCAACATTCAGATGCATGGACAATCATGTCTTTTACTACAAACAACAAATAAATTATTTTAATTTTACAACTTGTTCAGAAAGAGTTTGAGCAAACTGTGGCTAAAGTCTACGAGCTACTGAAGGGCACAATTTGGAATGGCAGATGTGACAAGTTAAACATGATCATGAAGATTGCAGCTATTGTAAGTCTAAATTTCATATTACAGGCTTACAGCTGTAATTGCCGGTTTAGATAATCACATTAGTTATAGTTTCCTACAACTATGAGACAAATTATATATTTGAACACAACCGTGTAGACTCTAAAATATGCAGAAAATATTCTAATTAAACCAAACGAACCCACTATATCACACTCGGAAGTAGGGTCTGGGAGGCATAGGATGTGAGCAGACCTTACCTCAACCACTAGGATCGAGGGGCTGTTTCCATGAAGACTCCGGCTTGTGCACAAAGCAGAGTTGTATGTGCATGATTCAATGATGTGAAGCAAGAAAGTGAGGTCAGGTCAAATCGGGTCCAACTATCCCACACAGGAACCTATTTGGCTGCTCTAGACTACCAACCCGAAATAAGCCACCTCACATTTTCGGAATGGCGGAATCCGTCTCTAGCAAGTACGCAACTGGCCTTAAATTGTGATACGGATCCGTCTAATCTAATCCAATCTTTACCCAAGCCCAAAGTGTTGAATGTTCATTCCAGACGGCCACCATTCCTGACAAATTTCCGATTCCGGTTGTCGAAGAACTAATCGATGAATTGACGGGAGCCCAATTTTTTACGAAATTGGACTTGAAATCGGGGTATAATCAGATTCGCATGAAACCCGACAGCATCGAGAAGACGGCATTTCGTACCCACGATGGCCACTATGAGCATCTAGTGATGCCCTTTGGCCTCACTAATGCGCCGGCCACCTTTCAAGTCATTATGAACGACATCTTTCGGCTTTATTTACGGAAATTTGTCGTGGTTTTCTTTGAGGATATCCTGATTTACAGCCCTTCGTGGTTCCAACACCTGGAAGATTTGAGCACGGTCCTTCAAGTTTTATTCTCTAATCAGTTTGTGGTCAATCGAAAAAAATGTTCGTTTAGACAAACTTCTATTGATTATTCGGGACATATTATTACCGGCCAAGGGGTGGCCATGGATCCTAAGAAGATCTCGGTTGTGTTGGAGTGGCCAGTACCGAAACAACTAAAAGGGCTATGTGGATTTTTGGGCCTTATGGGTTACTACCGTAAGTTTATTCGTCATTACGGTAGTATTGCCAAGCCGTTGACAGATTCAACCAAGGACGCTTTTGGATGGAATACGGAAGCTCAAACAGCTATCAATTTTATAACATGGTCACGGCTCCGGTGTTGGCTTTACAAGACTTTTCAATTCCCTTCACAATCGAATGCAATGCTTCGGGACGGGGCATCGGAGCAGTCTTGATGCAACAACAAAGACCCATTGCTTACTTCAGTAAAGCATTGAGTGAGCAACATTTAGCGAAGTCGGCATATGAAAGAGAAATTATGGCCCTGGTGTTAGTTGTTCAGCATTGGCGTTCACATCTTTTGGGGACTAAATTTTGCGTGTATACGGATCAGAAGCGTCTCAAGTTCTTGCTGCAACAACGTATTACGAATCCCGGGCAACAAAATTGGGTGGCCAAGTTGCTGGGATATCAGTTCGATATTCTGTACAATTCGGGCCGTGAAAATAGGTTTGCCGACGCATTGCCTTGACGAGCAGAAGATGGTGAACTAACTTCGTTGATGTCGGGGCCAGTTTGGGTCCAAGGGACTCGACTTATGGAGGAAGCTCATAGCGATCTGGGTTTACAAAAGATTATCTGTGACTTAACGAATTACCCAAATCCCCATCCCAGATATGTGGTTCGACACAATTTTTGTATTACAAGGATAGATTGGTGATTCCTCGTACATCGAAATTGATTCCTTATCTTTTAAAGGAATTTCATGCCTCTCTTATTGGGATATTATCGAACCTATCGTTGCTTGGCCACAAATTTGTATTGGCCAGGAATGATCGTTGCGGTGCAAGAATTCATGAAGGCTTGTGACATATGTCAGCAATATAAGGCCAATTCAACGTCTCCAAGCAGGTTGCTCCAACCACTCGACATCCCTAATGCGATATGAAAACACCTATCAATGGATTTTATCTTGGGTTTACCCAAATCTAGAGGCTATGATGGTGGTGGATCAATTGTCCAAATACAGCCGCTTTATACTGATCAAACACCCATATACAGCTAAGTTCGTGGCAAAAAGTTTTGTTCGGGAAGTGGTCAGACATCATGGAATTCCTAAGTCCATAGTCAGTGACCGTGATCCTTTGTTCCTTAGTCATTTTTGGCAAGAGCTTTTTCATTTGCAAGGGACGAAGCTAAACATAAGCTTCGCTTATCACCTGGAATCGGATGGTCAGACAGAAGTGATAAACCGTTTTTTAGAGACGTATATGTGGTGTTTTGCTATTGATCAGCCACGTTCATGGGCGTTGTGGGCCCCGTGGGATGAATTTTGGTATAATTCGACCTTTCATGGTTCCACAGGTCGATCTCCATTTGAAATAGTCTAGCCGTAAACCGCCGACGGTGGTTCAATTTATTCCGGGGGAAGTTCAAGTGGAAGCAGTAGGGGAGGAATTACGTGACCGTGACGAAGCTCTGAGACAACTCAAGTCGCACATAGTTCATGTTCAGGCTTTAATGAAAGAACAGGCTGATAAAAAGTGTCGAGATATGAGTTTTCAGATTGGAGAATGGGTTTATGTTAAGTTAAAACCGTACCGTCAAATGACTGTGACAATGGATTTATCAAAAGTTGGCGGCTAGATTCTTTGAACCGTTCAAGATTATTGAAAAGATTGGACCGGTTGCTTACAAACTGGAGTTACCTCCATCATCACATACACATCCGATGTTTCATATCTCATTACTAAAAAAAGTTGTTTTCTCACCTACGGTTGCCCAAGTTTTACCTCCCGAGCTAGAATTAGATGACAAAGATTTACAGTCTCCCGAAGAGATATGTGTGGTACGTACAGTTGTACAAGATGGGAAATCAGTGGAGCAATGGCTAATACGTTGGCAAGGGCAGTCTCGGGAAGAAGCGACGTGGGAGGATGCAAACATAATCAAGGGTCAATTTTCGGATACAAGTCTTGAGGACAAGACTTTATTGGAAGGAGGGAGTAATGATACAAATCCGTCTAATCTGATCCAATCTTTACCCAAGCCCAAAGTGTTGAATGTTTATTCCAAACGGCCCAAAAGAGTGGAAGATAGGGTTGGGCCCAATTAGCTATTACAGATTGATAGTGTGCCTGATAAATGGCGGGAATGCGGGTAGCATGACGTCATTGTGATTTTTCTTGTTAATTGAGTTAGGCTCGTAGCTGTGGCTTTGAGAGAGGGAAGTTTCCCTGGAGTTGTGTTTGTTCTTTCAATTGTAAGTTCCAATTTCGTTAATAATCAATTGGTGATTTGCCTTGCCTTTTAATCCTTTCATTCTTCCAAATTGTTTGAGTTCTTATCAAATTGTCTCTTGAAGCTCCCCTGCTTGGTAGCCAATCATGCTTGTTTTACCCTCCCGACATCAATACCCTTGTCGACACCCTCAACCAGATCATTCTAAAAATCGGTCACTCTAGACTCTAGTCCTATGACTCCAAGAAATCCTATCAGAGGTCAAGTCCTCGAAAATGCCTAAAGTTGCCATGTCCATCCTCAACTGTTGATCCCATGTTCTCTTAAGCTTGCCCTCCTCATCACCCCCTCAACCATCATCCTCTGCACTCTCCTCTCAGGTGCTGTCAATTGTCTCCTATAAACATGCCCAAACCACTTCAATCTACTCTCTTTCAGTTAATGTGTGATAGATGCAACCCCCAGTTCCTATCAAGATGGTTCCATGGAAGAACAGGTCGAACGTCCATTAATGTCCATGGATGCAAAAGAAATTTGGGAGATAATGTTATAGAGGTGTACTCCATACTTGGCAATTCCACTTGATATTTTTAATTGAAAAGGCGATTGCGACTCTTCAAAAAAGGTGATAGAGATGTCACAACTTATTTCAATGAAATGCCCTCTTCTGCAAGAATCGGATTCGTGTTATGATGACAAATAGGGAACCCTGTAAACCTTGCAATTTAAGCATGTGCTTTAGCTATGCATCACAAATCTTCTTATCCTTCTCGGCCTTATTTTTCATATAAGCCATTTCAACTCATCCACGGTGATATTTGAGGCCATCACAGGTTCCAACAATTTTTTTGGCAAAAGAGAGATCATTTCTTTCATTGATAATCACAAGACAACTTGGATTTCTTTTTTGATGAAAAAGACATGAAGTTGTGGATGTTTTAAAAAACCTCAACTCCATGGTACAAAATCAATTTAATGAAAATATTTCAAACTTTTAGGAGCAATAGTTGTAAGAATATTTTTCCAAAGTTCTAATACATTTTTTTCTCAAAAATGATCATTCAACTATGTTCTTGTGTTGACACACCACAATAGAACAGTGTGGCGCAAAGGAAATTAGACATTTACTATAAGTCACAAGAACCTAAAATTGATGTAATAATGTACCTAAAACCTTTTGGACACCTCTTTTAATTGATGTTTTCTTAATTAGTTGTATGCCCTCTAAAACCGAGAACCTAAAATCCTCTACAAAAGTTTCACAAATATAACCTGGATCCTAGAATTTTTCTAGATTTACTGTTCAAGATATTAGGCTGTTTCGCTCTTATTTCAAATCAAGATAAAAATAAGACAAAACTTCATCCTAAAGCAAGAAAGTGTGTTTTTCTAGGGTATCCAACGTCTTAAAGAAGCTACAGATGTTTTGATCGGATTTTGAAAAAAAGGTTCGCAACCACTGATGTTGATTGTTTTTCAAAACACTACTTTTTCCCCGATCCCCTCATGCTCCGAAGGAGAATTCGGCCCGGGAGTAGGGAAGATTCAGTGATAAATATAGCTCATTTAGATTTTTGAGTTTTAATCTTGAATCGACACATTTTTTTTTCAAAATCTGAACCACCATTTGGAAGAGGAAAAACACAAGGAAATCAATCGAATCTCAAACCATATGGATGATGACTCTACAAATGTTGATTAAAAAGAAACACGTAATTTATCAACCATAGCTATCTTGATGACACACAACAAAATCCAAACTATGAGAAGAATTTTGGGCCACACATACTATAGAAAGCTCTAATCTGAAGCAATAAACTCACAGACTCACTTAGTCCTATGAATCTTGCATCTAATTTTGATCTTCCCAAGTTTGATAAACTTGTTGCTCTTAGAAAAGGAGTCAAATCTTGTACCATCAAATATCCTATGTCTCGATCCCCTTTCAAAACTTATCTCCTTATTTTTCTTGTTTTATCTCACACCATAATCATGTCGAAATTTCCAAATCTATACAAGCATTTCCATGTTCTAATTGGATGCAAAAGTTCTTGAGGAAATGAATGCTCTCAAGAAAAATCGAACATGGGTAAAAATAGCTCTTAGGCACATGCCTCAGCAACACAAAACGAGGGTTTCGCTCGTTATAGGACTTGACCAAACATCTCACAACAAGAACTGACGACAGCCATGAAGAAAAAGGTTGGTAGGAGAGTTTCATGGTCAAATACAAGGCAGGAATTGTAGCAAAATGTTTCATTCACTTACGGCATGGGCTACATTGAAACATTGCAACAGTGGTGAAACTCAATACAACAAGATGTAAGAGATGCTTTCCTAAATGGAAAACTTAAAAGAGGAAGTTTTTATCAATCCTCCAGGTTCTGAAATCAAGTTAGTAGCCAAGTTGTGTGTGTCTAAAAAAGATCCTTTTATGATTTCAAGCAATCACCTCAAGCTTGGTTTGAAGGATCTATAAGTTCAATGAAATAAGGATATTCTCAAGGTTAAAACTGGTCACTATTATTGAAAAGGAAGAAATTTGGGAAGATTGGTCTAATGGTATATGACGGCATCATCGTCACAGTTGACGATCATAAAGAAATCCAAGCATGACATCAAAGACTTCAGACCACTGAGTTATTTATCGGAATGGAAATTGGAAAATGGTAGAAGGGGATAGTGGTAAGCCAACATAAACATATTCAAGATACATGTATAACACGTTGTAAGTCAACTTGCACGCCTATAGATCCCAGGAACAAAACTTAGTGATAGTGATTAGTAAGGGTAATTTAGAGGCATAATACCACATCTTAAGATATCTAAGGCTCAAAGAATGTTTAAATGTTTACCGGTGCAAATTGAGGAGCTTCGTTCAGACGGTCACTAATAGAAAATGTAGACGTGGATGCTACCGATTTGTATGTGAAAATCTAGTGATCTAGCAATAATGCTGAAGCAGGGTTCCATGTTATTGCTAATGAATTTGTGAGTTTGGCTCTAACGAGTACTAAAAGAGCTAACTACTACCATTGGATAGTCCTACGAACCAAGATTGTGACAACAAGGTTTGTTATAAGCATTGCTAGCAATCTCATGCAACATGATCAGACTAAACACATGAAAGTTGACTGACTTCATCAAAGAAAAGTTGGAAGAATAAAATGATATGCAAGTTGTACATCCTAACCATGCAACAAGTAATTGACACGCTTACAAAAGAATTGTTCAAACCAAAACCTGATGGAATCATTAGCAAGTAAGGTTTTGTACATATACATGCCCCAACTTAAGGAGGGTGTTAGTTTAGATAATCAGCAGTTGTAAATTAGTTAGATTCATTTCTTACTTTTTTGGAGATCATTAATCAATAAAAGATGTATGAAAATACCATGCAAATATTCATCCAATTGATTATGTTTTCACAAAAATAAATTTAAATTTGAAGTCGGGGCTAATGCTCTACATCCTCAAGGATAACTATTCTCATGGAACCATATGCTTGAGATAATAAAAGATGCATCCTTCATTACATTACAAAGGTAACAATTTCCATCTTTGTGATATCTTATTAAAATTACCTATTTGCCCATACTCATCATTACAAGTTATTGATGTTTTTTATTTTGGTCCACAAGGTTCATTTACTTAGTCTGTAAAGGGATTACACATTTAACCAATAGTCAAACACCTCCATAACTGTAAAACACACCCAACGTTGCAATTTTCATGGGACAAAGGGTGCACAATTCTTTTAGTTGTAATCTTATGGGGGGAATTTCAGGTGATTCTCTAATTAGAGTATGAATTCTTACAATCCTGAAAAATAAAGGATTACCCTCACAGCTTAACTCAAACCCTTGTTACATGTATCATCTTCATGGTTGCTAAAAATGAGGCGGTCAAACGTTCTTGAGGCGGCGCCTCTGCTAGGTTGGTTGGGTCATACGCCTCGAGCTACTGAGATGAGTCTGAGGCGATAGAGGCGGTGAGGTAAGGGGGGTTGAGGCAGTACTAAGACTTAGGTTCAAAAGTAACCAAATCAAAGAAAATATACTTGCTGATGACCCATTAAAGTGAAACCTCTGTTCCTTGCTTTGTCCTTGTGCATGGCCATTGAAGAAGAAAACTTACTGTTGTGTGATTTTTTGTTTTTATACAGTACGACTACGTACTAGGGAAGTAGGGATGCGACTTGGGAGGTGCATGAGGCCTCTTCAATTTTACATAGCAGGAGTGACTTTTCTTCTTCTCTTGACATCTGTGTCACTTTTATTGTTTCTCTTTATGTGGGAGGCTTTTAGTGTTTCTCTTTATTTGGGAGGCTTTTATTGTTTACCTAATTTGTTTTTATTAAAAAATAAATTCTTTTAACAATTAATTACCGAAATTAAAGTATTTAAAGACTTTATTAGCAACATTATGATTCTAAATAATAAATATTATTATCAACTAAGTATTACATATATAATATTATTTTATTTATTTTTATTTTCCAACTCGAGACTTACGTGTCAAGGCTTATGCCTCGCCTCACCTCATGTTTCCGTACTTTAAAACCTTGATCATCTTAAACAACTCAGATCCTACGATACAGATTTCCAATGGACAAAATGTAAACATGTCTTTCCTAATCTTCCTCCCATGACCATTTTCCTTCCTTGAATTCTATCATGCTGCTACTAGTGACATGAACAGTTCCTAATAAGACACATGCTAGTCTAATTACAATGCCTTTCTAGGAACGTTTATGGAAGTCATGTATAAGAATGATTTGTTAGTCCATGAGCAAATTCACTTTCACTGTGTTAATTTATAGAAGGGCTTTCCCCAACAACTACATTGAAATTGCATCTATTTATTGCCTATTTGCAACATATGATTCACAGATAAAACATAAACTTGACTGCATTGAATCTCTACAAAGAAAGAAGAGCAATTTGTTTATTGAATTTATAATAATCAAAGCAAAGAAGTGTCACCGATCACACGACTCAAGCACAACAAATGTCATAAATGCAAGGTTGTTAAAGGCTCAAGGCACACTTAGGCGCAAAGGGGTTTCTGGGCCTCGGCGCAGGCATGAGGCGCCGGGCCTTAGGAATGCTTAGGCGCATCTTATCAATATATTATATACACACACACAATTACACAACTCAAATATGCAGCAAGTACAAGCCTCCACTATAACAATCAACAACACTTCGATAGAAGCAAAAGGGAGAAGGGTTTGAAGCATGAGTCGTGAAGGAGAAGTTGTAAGGTTTGGGTATTCACAGAGAAGAAGGCTTGAAGTTCCGAGGACTGGGTATACAATATTAGGGTTTGATTTATGTCATCTATTTAATAATTCTTCTTTAAGAAGTCTACGAGATGAGAGAACATATTTAATATCAGGGATAGGTATTTAATAACTCTTTATGAGGCGCGCCTAGGCCCACAAAGTGCCTCAGCCAAGGCGCAACGCGTTAGTGAGCCTTGTGAATACACCGAGCCTTGACTTCAAAAGAGCCCAAGACCTTGAGCCTTATGAGCCTCGGAGCATGACACGCTTCAGGCACGCTTTTAACAACTATGCATAAATACTTTAGGCACTTGTATATACAACTCAACATCAGTTGTTGTATTATCCTAATTTAACTTGTGGTATCTATGATGCCAAAAAATAGCACACGGCATTCTTTATCATCTAATGTATTTGAGTGAACCCCTTCATCCATTTGTTGATGTTGCCTCAGCAACATCATAATGGTAAAAGCACCGTAAGCCATATCTAAAGCACTACCACAACTGCTAAAACAGTTTCATCTGGCATACAAACACGACAAAGGAGTATGAGAAGGTAATTATACAAGTAGAACAATGATAATGAAACCAAAAACTGAAATCTAAAGACAACTATTCTCACTAGTGGTAACGATCGCAATTAATTACAACAAACATATTACGATGGAAGTGGAACTCTCAAAAGGAATCCACTTAATAGAGTACAAAAATTAATTAACAAGACCTAAATAAAATCTAAGATCTCCGAACGCACCTTGATGTTCCTTGAGGTAGGGGTATTGAAGTTTTATTTGCTTGATTTTGTTGGCCATTTGACTGCGCTTGGGGCTGACCTAATTGGCTAACCTGTTGTTGAGACTGTGCAACCTGCTGCTGCTGCTGCTGCTGTGGCGACGAAGGCAGCACAGGCTGCAATGAAGCAGAATCTGTTGTAGCAGGTTTAGTTGCTTGGTTCATATCATTGTTACCTTGTGGAAACTGAAATTTTTCAGATTGCTGAGAGTGGTTGGCATTCCGGTTCTGGAAAAACCTATTAGAATTGCCATAATTGTAGGAAGTTAGTTGCTGAATCTTTTGGAGTACTTCTTCCACTGAAGGAGGGGGTCCTGGGAGCTTTGCATGTCTATACCGACAGTCAGGACCATTGGGACAAAATCCCAACTTGTACCTGCATTTTATATTTAGCATCAGAATAACTCCCTGATGATTTGTAGAAACAGAAGGATCTCCATCACAGTTTCACAGAAAAGAAGGCTAGGAGTGTCTGAGGAGAACAGATGAGATGCAGTGAATGAGTATTTACTAAGATGGTCTATTTGTTCTTTTGTCTTTGAAAAACAGATGGTTTGTTTGAATGAAGTACATTATAAATAGCAACAGAATAAAATTGTTCTCACTAACAGCACAAATCTCACTCACAAAAACATTCATAGCAAACAAATTAAATGAATAGAATTATTTGTTTTTACAACCTGTAAAGTGTGAAGATTGATAATCTTATTAAAAGACAGATCCGATTTGCTGACTTTATTATGTAAAACCATATAACCCATTGCCATATGTATAAACAAGGACTTGGATTATGTAAATGAAAAGAAAATATCATTTGTAGCAATGCACCAAGACAAGAGATATTTAACTAGGGTTTTTGCAAAATGAATGAAGAAATCGAGATTGAAATTTTAAGTGATTATCCGATTGATAGCTCGGACAGAAACTTAGTATGAGTTAAGATGATAAGTTTTTGGCATAACTATCACTCATGACTTAGAAAGATAAGTTGACTAGCTTCTTTCTTCTTATGTATGGAAATGAGTTCACTATCAGTTCAAAAAATATCTTACAGAGAGAAAAGTAGATGCAAAACATCTACAGCCTCAGAAAAAGAATTAGTGTCAAACAAGATTAAGCGGTTTTAAACTTAAAAATAGATGAACTCCAAAATCCCTCTTTCAACAAGAAATCATTTCAAGTACATATTTGCACCTGTAGCTAGACAAGTTTCAGGAATGAAGATCATAGTATGGTATACAGATTACAAAGAACCAATCTGTCTTTTGTTCAAACCAACTTGAAGATTCCTATTTCACTGTTGGAACCCACAGAGCTTTAACAACAAAAGGAAGTCATCCGATCCAAAATCGAATAACAACTCAAGGATCACAGAGTAGTTCATTCTCTTCAGAAACTTCATATGTGCTTCAATAAGCAAACAACACCAATAAGACAAAAAGGATGCTCCACATTCCATCTTTTCGGCCATTCGCTTCTGGTTCAAGCTATTGAGCACCACCTTTCATAAGATAACCCCCGAACAAAAGATAAATAAGATAGAAGATCGATTGCTTTTGATTTTGATTCATAGTTCAATTGGTACCAAATACGCTGCTTTGCAGTTAGCCTAAAGAATCATCCTTAAGAGCCCTTGCAGCAAAAAACAAGATTTTGAACATATTACACATATATGTTACAATTGTACCACGCCTATCACAATATATACACACATATGTGAACCATCTTATGTTTTCTAGTTTGATCTACCCTACTTGTTGGGAATTAGATATGCTTGTACTTAATGTGATTTTGATTAGGTAAAATCGACAGATATATTGGTTCGGTACATGAACCCTAAGAAAGATTCATCTTAATCAAATCAAAGGTTGTGGGGTTAGTAATGATTCCGATAAACTGGCAAAAGGCGGTTCATATCATCCGAGAACATAAAGTAAATTGGAAAATATATAAAGAAAATTACATGTTACACTCCTTGATATCTTCGTTTGTATGCTTATAAACACAATCCTGTTCACGGCACTCTCCATACAATCGGAAGAATCGACAAATGGGCATTCGTGATTTGTCGTATTGGTGAAGAAACCCGCAGGCCTCCCCTTTCATACACAAACTACGGAGCCAGTGACGGCATACGGTCTGACGGTAACTCCTCCTTCCGGCGAAATTGGCTGCGGCGGCGGCACCAGAAGCAGGGTCTGTAACAGCCGAGGGAAGGGCAGCCGAGTAGCTGAGGTTTGCAGCAGAAGCGGATGGTCCATTATCGGTGGATTGGTGGATTACAGGGACGGATGCGGTGGGTTGGGTGGGTGCTGCGTCGAGGCCGCCTTCGAAGTCGAAGCTCAGACCTCCTTCTCCGTCCTCCATGTTCACTCCTGAATCGCGTATTGTGCTACTAAATATAATTATAACGTTGAAAGAAAAACAAATACAAAAATCCCTATAATCATTGTTTTATTTTAAATATTTTTATTAAATTATATATCGACCATTTATATTACAATGGTTTTGAAATGAATGATATATTGTATGCGAAACATGTTATATGTATTGTATGTTGAAGATCCCTTAAATCTAGTCGGTCAAAGAAAGCTCTGGTTTGGACCAGGGCTAGTGAGATAGTTTGAGAAATATGACAAAATGGACCTGATGGTTCTAACCACTGCTAACATAAGTATTCGGATGAACAATTGGAGTTGGACATTACGACTTTTGACATTATTACAGACATGATCCCTTATAGGGGTACTTGAAGACAAGGTACCATGGTATTGGAATAGGAATGAGGATTTGTACTTTGGGTAGAAGGGAGTTAAAGAGGTTGGTGGACAAATGGTTGGCAGTTTAGACTAGGGTTGCATTGTTTGGCCTTCTTTTCTATGTTTTGTCCACCATATGTTAGTCTTTGTTCTTTCAATTATTTGCTAACACTCATGCATAAGTTCGGAGTCCCTATCAAAACAAACGATTTACTCGTTTCAGGTAAAGGCAAGTCTACTTGCATCTCATCCCCAAATTCTACATTTGAATGGGATCAACTGGATTACTCTTGTTTGGTTTGGTTCTAACCACCACATGGATGCAATGTTTAACCCAAATTCGTCATAAGGGTTAAGTGTCCAAAAGAGAAGGTTGAAACTAGACAACAGTAATCATTGTAGTCATAGATGAAGGCAACAGTGTTACTTGACCAACCATCAAGAGAAGCAAGGGTTGCGATCCCACGAGGGAGAGCTAATTCCAAAAGCCCATCAAGATGTGAAGGTTTATGCATTGAAACTTCTATGCAACAACTATAATAAGGGTTGGGTTGTTTGTGTTTTCAACATTACAAACTACAATGGTTCTCAGGTGTTGTGAGAATTACACACCAATGTCTGTTGGAACAAAATAAAACATAAGAATGTGCAAGTATACACAAATCGAAATTGACGTCTTGAATAAGTAATAGAGTATTAAAGCATTAGATATTGCTTTCCCTACATGATTTGAATGAGTCTATAAAAATCAAGTGCAAAAACACAATAATGTAGCAACCTTGGGGGAGGAAAATTTGTTTGGTACAATAAAAAGAGAGTTTCTTACATTTCTTCACTTCCAGCACAAACACAAATGTAAAAATATAAAACTTGAGAGAAGAGGGAAACAAATATATCGAACTTGAGTGGTTCACGGACTTGACTACTCTACTTTTTTCGAGCCCATCTTGAGACATGTTGTTCTACTATTTGATGTTCTTTAGCAACAGGACATAAAACGATTTGTATAATGTTTGAGTAAACACTCTTCCTTTTGCAACAACATGCCATACACACAAAATAAATCACTTATGATCATAATCATATTAATGAGGAACACAATGAATTAATCTTTTAGTATTGAAATCTCTTAAATGATGATGAAATATTTTGGAACTTTGGGAGTGTTTGAGATTACTTATTTAAAGTGTTTATTAACTTATTCCAGTGTAGTACCGGTAATAAGGAGTTTTTAATATTTGGATGGAAAAAGAAAGGAAATACTTATATCGGTTTGGCCCCGGTAATAAGGAGTTATTGATAAGTTACTTCCTTCTAACTTTTTAACTTATTCTGGTATGGTACCAGTAATAAGGAGTTTTTAGTGTTTGGATGTGAAAAAAAGTATCTCATCTATTTTATTAGCTTATCCGGTGTAGTACCGCCATAAGCTAATCCAAACATTTTTTTTATAAAACTCTGATTAAAACTCCGTTTTGCCACCACATAAGTTGATAAACATTTTTATAAAAAAAAAACGTAAGTCGTTTTAAATAAACAATCTCAAACAAACCCTTAGTAGAGAGGAATTATTGAGTTTTTAATTGGTAAAGGTTTTCTGGATCTTAGATAATGACCTTAATTTGTACTCGAGTGAATTTTCAAATATGGAGCTTGCAATAGTCCAGATTGCACACCTTGTAGACATCTAGATTTTTTATTTTTGAAATGTGATTGTTGGTTGGTATAGTGAGTCAGACTATGAAATCTGATTTGTCTGGCTTGTGAATGTCCCGATCTAGTCCTTCGGGCATCCTAAACACTTTAAGTCAAAAAATCTTTGAACTTGGGTATAATATACTAAGGCCCTCTTCGTATTTAGTTTGTATACGGGCTTGGCCTTTTACGTAGTGTTTGGTACGCAAATTGGATGAGACATGTAATAGTCTGGTTATTGTTTCAGTTATATATATACTAGAAGAGTACTCGCGCAATGCAGCGAGATACATCGTGTTTTTAATATTTCATTTTATTCTTTATCTCAGTCGATGTTATAATATGACTTTATGTGATTTTGAGAAAGCGATGATGTTTTTATTTTTGAATAAAATATATGTTTGACGATATCATAAAA